GATACGCTTGGCCTTCTGGGCTGCGAGCGCACATTGCCGGCTCATGTCCAGCTTTTCATCCACCAGTACCCCCAAGTCCTTCTCGGCAGGGCTGCTCTCCATCCCTTCATCCCCCAGCCTGTAGTGATACCGGGGGTTGCCCTGACCCAGGGGCAGGACCTTGCCCTTGGCCTTGTTGAACCTCATGAGGTTCACACGGGCCCACTTCTCGAGCTTGTCCAGGTCCCTCTGGATGGCATCCCGTCCCTCTGGCGTGTCGACCACACCACTCAGGTTGGTGTCATCAAACGCCATCCACCCATCCATCTCGGGGAGGGAAGGAGGGGCAGCAGCTCCCATCTTGCTGCAGTGTCCCTGGTCTTTTCTGCCTCGGGGATTTCTGCTTTTCTCACCCAGCGAAACAGCGCTGCCGAGCCGCCCTGGCACGTTGGTTTGCTGCTGGCGAGCGTGCTAGGATTACCGCTCCGGTGAGTCAAGCCCGAGGTGGCTAGGTAAGCGTTTCAAAGCGACAGAGCGTTTCAATTAACAAAAGGTCTAACCTCGGAAAGAGAGAAAAATAACCTAATACCCTCGATGGGAAAAGAAACCAGTGAGTAATCCGCTCTGGGAACAGCCAGAACAGAAGGTTGGGCACCTGAGCAGCCACGCTTTTAATTTCTTCTGCTAAATACCTATTTCACCTGCTGGAAAAAACTCATGCTCTGGTGGGATGCTCAGGAAAGGAGGATGATGCAAGCGAAGATGGTTGCTTCTGACTTATTCGTCCTGCTTTGGGACATCGGTGTCCAGAGGACGTGCCATCCATCTCCAAATGCCTCCTAAATATCTGCTAGGAAAAGCTGTTGAGTTTGGTCTCCTTGCAGCTCTATAGATGAAACGTGGACGTTCCCAGGGTGAAAAACTGTTTCCAGCAAATCTGGCCCATGCCCAAGTCCTCCCCTATTCCCCAGCCACCACCTCGTGGTCCCTGCAGAGGGCCAAACCCTGTGCAGAGCAGGCAGAGCAATGGGTACAAGACGAGAGGCTGCCTTGCTCCCAGAAAAAGCAAAAGTGAAATAAGAATAAAAATAAAATCCCAACTGAGCAAGCTGCTCTTCCCACACCACAGGCAGCTGCCTGCCTGGCTCGGCTGCCCGGTGTACCTGTCGTTCTGGTACACGTCCACGCTGCTGTTCAGCTCCTCCAGCTCCTCCTTCAGCAGCTGCAGGTTGGAGTTCACGTAGCTCAGCTCCAGGGCGACCGTCTCTTTCACCTTGTGGTTACTGGTGGCCCTGCAAGACAACACCGTGTGGATCAACCCCCCCCCATTTCATCAATGCCTTTATTTATCAACACTTTGGTTGCACTGATAACTAGAGATTAAGTTATCCAGCGGTACAATACCACGTGCATCCATCCAAACCTTCACGCAGAAACTGTGCCTCTTGCTCTGCACATGATCATAGAAGGGTTTGGGTCGGAAGGGACCTCTAGAGGTCATCTGGTCCAACCCCCCTGCCGTGGGCAGGGACATCTTCCACTAGATCAGGTTGCTCAGAGCCCCGTCCAACCTGACCTGGAATGTTTCCAGGGATGGGGCATCCACCACCTCTCTGGGCAACCTGGTCCAGTGTTTCACCACCCTCAGTGTAAAAAATTTCTTCCTTATATCTAGTCTGAATCTCCCCTCTTTCAGTTTAAAACCGTTACCCCTTGTCCTATCGCTACAGGCCCTGCTAAAAAGTCTGTCCCCATCTTTCTTAGAAGCCCCCTTTAAGTATTGAAAGGCTGCAAGAAGGTCTCCCCGAAGCCTTCTCTTCTCCAGGCTGAACAAGCCCAACTCTCTCAAGCCTTTCGGGACCGGGGAAGCCAGAACATCCGTACTACTGTGCTGTGGAGGTTGAGGCCAGGCAAAACTCATTACAGCGTTGCACCCTGCTCAGATGAACCTGCTATTCCTGCCCTAAAGCAACCTTCCCCTTGCCCATCCATGCTCCCACCTCCAGTGCAGCTTGAGATTTGGCTATGAGCACTCCAGGTGCTCACTCACACCAAAAAAAAAAGTGCTTTATGGTTGGGTTTGAGGAGGAAAAAAAAAAAACCAAACCAAACTTACTTTTGCATGCAAACAACCCTTCTGCAAGAGAAGAGGCTTGCTGTGCTCGCCCTTTAGGAAAGCCGGATCCTGCCCTCCCTTCCCCACTCACAGGAGATGTAAACACCAAAGATTGATTTCAGCTGCCTGCTCCCAGCAAGACAAGCTCCCAGGCTGATTACAACCTCCTTATCTGCTCCGAAGGAAAGCAGGGAGAGATAACCCAGAGCTGGCAGCGTGCAGTCCAGTCGTCGGCTGAAAGGGGCTCTGGCTGCTCGTGCTAAATCATGCCAGGCTCCAGGAAAAATAGCACGTGCACGAGCTCTGCTCAGCCAGGGCACCGCTTTCCCCCAGCTTTTGCAGAGCATGTTGCCTTCGACTTGTGGTTTTTTTGTGGATAGCATCCTTCAGGGGCCTTGCCCTGACCTGGCTCAGGGCAGGAGAAGAAGCTATGCTGTTTTTCCTTTAAGATGCTGGTCCTTTAGGGTCTCCTCCCCTGACACCCCTTTGCTGAGATTTCCCAAGGCCACTGCATTTTTTTTTTTAATTCTAAACAAACAAAGCAAAAACCACAGCAGGTCCAAAGATCTCCGCGGCCTCTTCCATTTAAACATCCTTCTTTAAACATCCTTCAGCACTTCTGCAGTTCCCCATACAGCATCAGCACAGTAATCACCCTCTTTCCATATAAACCAGTATTCAGTCACCGTTTTAGTCCTCCACACATCACACCACCTCCAGGACACAGGGTGCATCACTGCTGTCGCTACAATTTTCTTCCAATAGGAATTAAAGAGAGTTTCCCCTTCTTGCTCCCAGCTGGCAACAATATCTTTTTTTTTATTATTATTATTTTCTTGTATTACCAATAGCTGATTTGTGCTGACCTGCAACCCAACAACACCAGGGTAACATTTGCATATCCACATGATATATTTCTGACCAGTGCTTTCACCCCTGCTCTGCAGCAGAAAGGACGTTATCACCCTGCAGAGCCCAGTCGTGCTCTGCAGGATTTCGCAGGCACGTGCAAGTTTTTCCAAGAGTTGCCACCAGGTTAAGGTTTTAAAGCCCAACGTCACTTCGGGGCACTTCAGTTTGCACTCTGCAAGCGCCACATGCAGCAATTAAGAGCACAGTAACTCTCAGAGGTAATTTAGGGGAGCACTCGATCGTTTCCATGAGCAAACATGCACTGATGCACTTTGTGCTCCCTCTCCAGGGCAAGCACCGATCGCCATATGAGCACGCAGAGCCTACGTGTCTCCATCAACCTCCTCGGTGAAGTTATCCGCTGTTTGCTTAGCTAACACCAAAGAAAAAAAAAATCAGAAATCTTTTTTTTAATTTCTTTTTAAGAAACTGGTTTATTGGCGACACCTTTATCTCCCCGATTGCTTCGCTCAGCCCCAGTATTTGAACAAGAAAGGAAAAGGTTTCCGCTACCTCTGCCCATTTATTTATCCAGCAAACAAACCCTCTTAACACCGCTGAGCAAACACCACGTGCATTTTTTCCAGCACACCATTCATGGCAACCTCTCCAGGAAAGGGGACCGATATGCTGAACAGAACAGTTCAGATTATTTTTTTTTTTTTAAAGCATTGAGGGGTTTGGTTTGTTTTTTTTTCTTGGCAGAGGCAAAGAAACCAGCAAGTTCAGCTGAAAACTCTGCTCCAAGCTGGGCAACCCACAGCTTCTTCTATTTGCATTTAGCACTAGCCTAGAGAGATGCAAAGGAAGTTTCTCCGTGCAACTCAAGTCTAATTTTTAAGCAGTAACCTTTAGACTTACAATATAATCCCCCCCACACCTCAGCCTTTAATTTCAGGCACAAGCTTGATTTCCACACACCCCCCACCCCAGATTTCCCATGTTTCATAAGCTGGGAGCACCGTCGCACCCAGAAACCCACATTATTTCTCAGCTGCGAAGTGGACTTGGGGGAGGGAGGAAAAGTGGCTGCTACCAAAGGACATTCAACCTGCTGATCCAGCAAAAAAAAAAAAAAAGAGCCCCATCAGTGCATTTCCCTGGCTGAGTAATTAAGATGTGTTTTGCATCACATTTTTTGCTCACTCCCCTGCACGCGGCTCTGATTCCCGCTGTTTGCACCAAAACTGCGGCCAGGCACGTTTCTGCTGAGCCAGCACATTTTCCCCCTATTTCTTTTTTTTTTTTATAATAAAAGGGGAGTCGCGTGGAGTGGCACACGTTGGGATTTCATCGCCTTTTTTTAATTAGATGAGGCACGGCAGCCTGGTTGAAGCAGCGGGGTATGCGGGCTGTAACCTCACCTCCCCCGGGAAGCCCCGCTGTCCTCGGCCACCGGTAAAATACCATTTCTTCCTGTAGTTTGGTGGAGCAACTATTACTCCCTTCTTCCAAGTGCATACGCCACTGACGTTAAATCATTCAAGTTCAGAAGTGAAAAGTCAATCTTTTGTTTTATTGAGGGGGAAAAAAAACCAAACAAACTGGCAAAATACGCCAAAAAAAGTTATTTTAGGGCAGCCTTATTGATATTTTCTTATATTAACAGACCTGCCCACCCTGCACATGTGCTGCAATATCCTACAGAAACATGAGATACACACAAGAGCTACCAAAAAAGGTCATCCTCGGGTTAAAAAAAAAGATAAAATAGCTGCAAAAATAACGCGATTGCATCATGATCGCTCTACAGAGGAAGGCATTAACCCGCTGGCTTTACTCCTGCTGGACCAGCTGCAATCTGAAAGGTACCAACTTTTGCACCATCCCTTAAATGCATCCTCCCAACAGGGTGAAGAGCCACTGGGCTGCGCCCAGCTGTAGAGACATACCTGAATTTTTCAGATTCTGCTCTGGAGGAAGCACTGGGATGGGGATTTTTTGGAACCAAAGCTGGATTTGACCCACTGGGGTTATCGGATTTAACCCGCTGGGGTTATCAGGCAGGAGCTCTGCAGTCCGAGCTCAATCCCGGTTAAACATTTATTCCCCATTATTCCATCTGCTCACACCCTGCTTTGTACCAGGCTTCCAGGACGTTAAAATGATAATTTATTTATTTTTTTTTTTTAATTAAAATGCATAGCATCAGCATTCCATCGAATGGCGGGCAGGCATTTCTAGGATGGACGCTGCAAAGTCAAGGGAAGACCGAGCAAACCCCCACCATAGCCAGGGGAGTGCCAGCATCAGCTGCCTCCTAAACATCAAGGCCATATTTCTGCCCTCCCAGCCAAATCCCTGGGCCAGAGGGACGCTCCGGGGGTCAGGACTCACCTGAAGAGGTTTTCTGCTCCCGCTCGCATCCTCATCTCCTTGTTGATCTGCTGGTTAATCCGCGCCCGGCGATGCTGCAGTTTGCTGCGCTGGGTCTGGGCAAAGGGGTCGCAGCCCTGCTGAGAGAGAGGAGCAGGCTCTCACCAAAACCCCCACCATTTTGGGATTAAAAATGGCACTTTCAGAGCCCGGCATTGCACTTGAAATAAAAAGTTTTATTATCTAATACCACACATCGCTTACAGCAATTTATTTTCTAAGCTATTCAGAAAACGCTTCCCAAATACAACCACGAAGGGATACAGGAACTAAGCATCTCCCTTCCAGGGTCTCGCCATCCGGACACAAGACAAGACCCAGGGGGCTGCAGATGTGCTCAGTGTAACCCTCGAGCTTGGGAACAGATGTGACCCTACGTCTGTACGTGCTCCCCTCTCCTGCCGGCTATAGGGGATCGAGCGCAGGCAGCAAGTCAAGAGTTCACGGGGGTGGAGAAGTGAGTTGCACAAAGCAGTAAATTAATTCCATCCCTGCCTCCTTCTTTGGCTTCGGCTCGGACTTTCTGCAGACAGGGAAACACGGTTAATCTCCAACTTCAGGAAATAACAGACGGCAATATCCCTCTGTCTCACGGGGGCAAGAGGTTATTATGGGATGCCCCAGGCAGAGAGGTTGCCACGAGGAGGGTCTCCGAATCCAGGGCCACAAAAACTCTGCCCAAGCAGAGATGATTTCCATTGTGCAAAGAGAGGTTCAGATGGATTAAATGAGCCTCTAAAAAGACCCCTGGATAAAAAAAAAACACAATAAAAAACTGTTTGGGAGGGCACAAGGCTGGGCAGTTTAAGAGGATGGAGACCTCCGAGCCTGCTTTTCACACACCAGTGCAAAGCACGGGCAGATCCCTCCAAGAACATATTAAGATCCACCGTAGCACTAAAAGAAATTCCTCAAAGCCACTATTTCTCCCTCTTGCTTCCCTTAGAAAGCCTCCGTTTGCTATGCACGTCAGTCTTACCCTGCTCCCCACTGCCTTCCCTCCACCACTGCGGGTGGACCCCTTGCCTCCACGTCAAGAAGGGGTTTTGCTACCCAAGAGACTCTACAGAGCACCACCAGTGCCCGCTCTCGTCCTGTCCAAAACACCTTCTCAGCTAATTTCTTCCATGTAGAGGTCTCGGTGGGGCTTCCCCAGGTCTCATCTCATCCTCCAGGATGACTCACAACAGCCTCAAATCCAACAAGCCATGGCAACGCTTGGTTACCTCTCCAGAAAACACTGTAGGTCCCAGTGTTACTCTGGGAAAACTTACTTCTACCAAATTATTTGGTTTTTTTGGGGAAGTAGAAAAGGAAAAAAAAGAAATCCTTGCTCAAAAAAGTATGAGATCAGCTTTGATTAGTAAGTAGGGAATGGAAAAATTACGCATTTTCATGGACTTCAGCTTTCTGAAAATTAATTTCTCATATTTGAAGTCCACTAAGTGGTGCCCCCTTTGAAAAGGGTCTGGGATTAACATCGGCATTTTCATCTGAGTGAACGATTTGAGCTCCTAATTGGTACATTGGAGACTAAGGAATCAGAGTCACTCCATCTGGTCCATAAATCTGCAGGCTTAGTGCTTTACAGTAATCCATGAATTTGTTGAAATTACTGAAGGAACAAGCTGGAAGCATGAGACCCTGATTATTCTGGAAAAGCAATTAAGTGGGACCTTAAGGAAAACACCCCAACAGCTGCACAAATCTTGGGTCTGAGACACTCAGGAGCAAATACAGGAAAGGCTGATCCAGAAGTGCCACTTCTGGATTTACCCTGGGGGAACCCATCCATCCTGCACACGTTGTTGACTCCCCGGGGAAAAAAATCCAGAAATTGGAAGAAAAAGAAAAAGGATGAGGAATCCCACACCACGAAGCCCAAGAAGGGACCATGCCAGGTTTTCTCCAGCACGAAGGAGCTGGGTCATCGCTGAACATGGCCCTTGAAATAAAAAAAAAACCCAACCCAACCATGCTGGCACTACTCAAATCTGAGCACCCAGAGGCTCCCAAAGCAAAGGAGACAGCACCAACCTCTTGTCTAGAAAGTAGCGGCTCATGCAGATGTAGTCCAAGATATTGCACAAGTATTTCTTTTATTAAAGGCTGATTACAAACATTGTGCCTTCAATGACGTTTCTTCATACAGTGCAAGACATTAACCCAGACGCGGAAGTTAAAGCTTAAGGGGGGGGAGAAGGAGCCATAAAGAGAAGGTGGTGCTTATTAAAATTTCAACAGCCCCTCAGGTTTACAGATAAGAGCTGTGTGCGCTTGTCAACTCCAGAGACACACAAGACAAATGCATATGCAAATATATCCAAATACACGCAAGCGAGCAGGATCCAGGCCCCCTCTCTCTGCCTCCAGAGCCATAAAAATCCATCCAGAACTCAACAGCCCCGGTAGCAACTGTTGGAGGTGGAAAGCACCTCTCCTCTGCCTCCAGCTCTTCCTACAGGAGCTTTCATCACCTTTGAGACCTCTCCACTTCTTGCAAAGCTTCGCTTGAAAGCGGTCAGAGGATTTTAAGATTTTTTTCAGGGGGAAAAAAAGCAAAGACTACCTGAATACATGGGCAGGAGGCCAGACGAACTACAGGTGAGAGATGATGGAAGAGGCACGAGTGGAAGGACTATCCAAAACCACAGAGAAGGTCCATGAACGCCTCCTCGTCTGGAGGCGAGGCAAGAAGAAACTAAGTAAGAAAAGCAGCGAGATGCAGAGTGGCATAAGATGACACTCGGATGGCTCTACAAGACATTCAAAAACAGCGTTAAAACCTCTTCACTGCAAAAGCAATTAAGAGGTTTAGCTAATTGACTTGGCAGCTCCCTACTTCTCCCATGCCTGGCTTGAGACAACACCAAGGGGCAAAATTCGAGTGGCCACAGTGTCAAACCTGATGACCAAGACCCCTCTCAAGAATGCAAACAGAGCAGCGCCGACAATCATGAATCACTTTGGCCTTCCACAAGGGCACAAAGGAGCTGCCCTCCAGGAACGCTTGCAAGCCCTGATGCAGCTGGGGACCAAACAGTTCAACAACATCCAGGACATCACAGCATTTGGATTTGCTTAGACTTGGAAAGGGAGGTGCTTAGCTCTTCTCCCTGGGATCCAGTGATGGGACTCATGGGAATGGTTCAAAGCTGCACAGGGGACGTTTAGACTTGACATTAGGAAGCATTTCTTTACCAAGAGGATGGTCAAACACTGGAACAGGCTTCCTGGAGAGGTGGTCAACACCCCAAGCCTGTCAGTGTTTAAGAGACATTTGGACAATGCCCTTAACAACATGCTTTAACTTTTGCTCAGCCCTGAATCGGTCAGGCAGTTGGACTAGATGATCACTGCAGGTCCCTTCCAACTGAAATAGTCTATTCTATTTTATTCTCCCTCCGAGAGACACTAAGCCATTTGTAGAGCTGCGAGGTTTTTTCCCCCCCATCTGAACACTGGGTGTCTTTTCAATCTGTTTTAAAGAGATAGTTATCAATTCCCATCCAGGCTCCTAAGCCAACAGCAAAAAGGTACCGAGAAGTCAGGTATTGGAGCACCTGATGTAATACCAAAGCCTTGTGAGGATGTCGAGTCAGGATCTTGAGACTTGCTGCCCTTAGGGACTTCATGTGATCTCCCCGCACCTTGCTTTCCTCCTCACCCTTTATGAAGTTGGGTAACTGCAGTAACCCATGGGATTGCAGCACATCTCACCTCGAGAGGATCTGTCGTCGGTCCCAAAGCATCATCCCTGGCTGGCATGGACCAATATAAGCATTATGCCAAGGCCACCTTGGGGAACAACCAAGCCTAGTCTGCAGCTGCTCCTGGAGCATTGCAGAAATGACGTTATTTCACAAATATTGGAGCAAGAAGGAAGTTCAGCTCCAGAATAAGATGCTTAGCCCAAGTTAACTTACATATGAAAGGAAACACCATCACAAGCAAAAAAGGTCATATTTAAATCAAAAGGTAGATAGGGAAGATAGAGAGTGAAGAGGAGAGCACGCCTGTCCTCCAACAGCTTGTGTTCAAAGGAACCTGTGCCTGTACTCTCCAAGTTGCAGCCAAAAGCTAAAGACTACAGCACAGAGTTTCTAAAGTAAGCGGTGATGGATTTAAGCACGCCTTACATAAGGGGGGCATAGGGAAAAAAACCCACCAAAACCCAGTGTTAGGTTATAAAAGGGATTTTCCTTGCTTAATTCTCCTTTGTACAAGCTCTTGAGGTCAACCCTTTAAGGTCAGAAGAAAGATGGATTATTTCAACCAGCCTCTTGAGCTTTGGGGTGCACCTAGGGACGTCAATGGAAGAGTAAAGTTGGGTGCTTAAGAAGGGGCCAGGTTGAACGTGAGATTTCTTAGCCTTCCTAGTTTAAAACTTTTACAAAAGAGAAGTGAGCACATAACTCTTGCGGTAAGAGGCCATAAATTGTGTAGCAGCCAGGGAACAGCACAGCTTGCATGTACAGAGGACAGCATATGTTAAAAAAGCCATGAAAATGAATGAGGTGTGGGTCATTAAGTTACACGAGTTGTGTCCAGCTCTGAAGTTTATTGCCTCTGACAACGCAGGATTAGAGCCAGTATTATTCTAACAAGGCCATTTTATGCTCAGAAGACACCTGCCAAATAACATTGCGTTCAACCCTCGGCATGGAAAGATGACAGCGGTACAGAAAGAGCTCAGCCAATGCCTCCACCTAAGGGAGAAAAGGGAAGAGGCCAGAAGACCCCTTCCAGAGGAGGCCAAGACAAACACCCTTTGAGGGATGTCAAGGTTTCTGCCAACTCAAACCCTATCTTTAAAGGGAATATATACTGTGATGTAATGGTGTTAGTAACTCCTCTACACCTCTTCCACTTCAAGAGCACCCATCTGGGGTGTTAAATAGGGCAATTACGTGGTTAGGTTTCCTTCTATAAGCAAGTCCTTAGGGAATGTTTATTTAGAGACAATCACCAAGTGTACTTTGCACTTCACATCTCCAGTAAACACAAAGAGATGAAGCCTGGATATGTCTTGGGTGACAAGACACACCTAGAAGCATTACTTGTGACCTTGGTGCCA